GCGACATGGATCCATCACACAAACACATCAGAATAAACTCCAGGATCTGGAACAGACCTTTATGTATGTGACAATACGCTCCGCGCGGGTTCAAGCACGTCCCTGTACTCACACTACACATATACTCAGACCCAGAGAAGGAGCTTGCATGCAACATGAGCACACGAAGAGACAGATCAACAGGGAGAGGATGAGGGTGGTCCTCTGGAACCGTCAGTGTCTGTCTTTAGAAACTTAATCCTGTAGACACACCATGAATGCTATAATTAACAACCTTGGGGCCATCTGTAGACAACAAAATTACACTTGATTTAACAGTAAACCGATAGCGCTGAAGTGAGATAGTCTACATGTTCGGAGCAGACCACGTTTTATTATGCGTCTTAAAAAAAAGTGCTGGACTTAATTGCTTTTGTTCCGAAGGTACAGTGCCTTGCAAACATCTGTATATACCCCTTAAGCTTTTTCACATTGTGTCAAGTTACAACCATAAACCTCACTGTATTTGATTGGTATTTTATGTGAATTGTCAACCCAAAGAAGCATTTAATAAAAATGTGGATACATTATTTATCAGCTTCTTAAAAAAATAAAAGTCTAAAAAAACATAGCACGCAACAGGGGTGTAGCAATGCATCAGTCCAGATATATACATTTTCAATTAATTTAAATTAAATTGTGTTGCATCAAGGCAAAACGAAAATATCAATCCAGATCATCTGCATTTGGACATTGAAGAGTAGGCTAAGTGGTGATATTTGTTAAGTTCTGGTAAAAATGTTCAGCCTGAGCGACTAACAAAGGATGAAAAGGTAAAATTCTGCTCTAATTTATAAAAAGGGACTTCAAATTTGTACATTTGTTGTGTGAATTTAATAAAGTTTACTATCTATTATGATTGTTTCATTATGGATTGACAATCATCAAGGTCACTTTTAAGTAAACTGATTAAAAAAGCCCTCTTAACCTTCAGAATTGTGAGACCAAGTTGAACAGGTTGATCCATTTTTTATTATTTTTTCATTAATTAGTAAAAATGTTTTTTTTTCCAAATATACATGCCTGCAATGATTTAGAAATAAAAAGATAAATCATACTTGAGTTGTTTTCTAAGATAATATAGATGTAAATACTCATGTTACATGTGCTTCATATCGATCGCAGACTTGAGCTGAATTGAATTGAAATCGTGTCATTGCAGACTTTGTAATATTGTCATCCAAACAAATAAATGTAATATTGCATCGTAATAAAGATGGTGATTTTAAATCCAGCCCCTTAGTCAATATCTTGCAGAATCAACACTGGCAGCAATTCGGCTGCAAGTGTTTAGGGCAGCTTTGTATCAGAATTGAACATCTACGGACTGAATGTTTACCCCCCATTGCCCTTTGAAAAATAACAAAGGCAGAGAAACCACTTCATTTCCACTGTTTTCAGACTTACACTACCTAGCATGAGTCTTTCATATAAAATCCCAGTAAAGTTAACTGACGTTTGTAGTCATTATGTAAGAAAATGCAAAGAAGCAAAGCGGTACCAAAGTTTTGCAAGTCACTATACGTGGACATATATGTAATATAGATCCGTTCTTTTGCACCATGTTGTCGAAGTGATTCATTTATGACTCATGACAGCTAGGGTTAAAATGAGACAGTGCAGCTGTCGTGATAGTACCCTGGATATCGTTTTGATCTCAAAGATGACACATTTTATTCTGAAAGTTATCTCTGGCCACAGATCTCTTCAGTAGAGGGGGAGGAGTTATGGACTTGAATTCCCCCCCCCATTTTAGCTCTATTTGCCTAGATGATTGAAGTCTGCAGTCTTTAAGGTATTATAACATCTTTCTAGTGTAAAGATCCCTTAAAACTTTCCTTTGCTTGTTTTGGGATGTGGTGTTTCAATGTGCTTAAAAAAGATTAGATTGAAAATGCCTAAAAAGACTTGCATTTATTTATTATTTAAAACGAACGGCTCGCCATGGCATTTGATATATTGTTTACACTGTTGAAAATATGCAGTAAACCTTAATGCGTTAATTTCTAAACATTTGGGTTCAGATTGCCATCATGTCCCTCTAATGTGGATGACTGAGAAGCAAGTTCAGATTAGATAGGCTACATTTCCCTGTAAGTTCTTGCAGGGACAACATTCACACCTTAATTTAATGCCGTTTTCAACATAGCAGTGATGCTGTGGGTGTAGATTGCATCTTTATGCAGGCGACTTTGTGATTGTGAGTCCATGCAGCTACGCGCCCAATACAGCCCAAACAACCACCAATCAGAGAGCTATTATGTCTCGGGAAGCCTCTATTTTTCTGGCATCCGAGAGGTGAAACTGAGTGCGAGCAGTGAGGGAAAGGGAGGGTGGATGGTAAGGGGGGGGGATTTTTAAACAAAAAGACACAGTAAGAAAAAGGAAAAAGAGACTGAGAAAGAGACAGTGGTGCTTGAGGGAAGCTGAGCCAATGTGCTCACTTTCAAACCCCCAAAATCTCAGAAAGGCTGCCAGACTCAGAAAGAGCGAAGACAATTAGTGCCAATACTAACATGGGTAATGGCTCCAAAATGGAGTTCACACGAGCCCGCCGCTGAGCAAGACTAGCCAAGAAAACAGTCAGCCTAAATCAGGCAAAGCTTGAATGGCAAACGAAGAGAGGAAGCAAATTCTTGCTTCAGTCGACAGGTCCTCAACAAGCCGGCGGCCAGTTAGAGGGCAGCACCAGGCAGGAAGCCTCTACTACCTCAGCATGGAGCCAGGGGCAAAAAGTTATTAAGGAACTGCTTGACAATTTGAAACTTAAAGGAAATGTAAAGGGTGTGCCGTGTAAGGCTACCTACCTACAGTGTTTAAAATAAGTACTGAGCATATCAAGTAATTAATATATTTATATCTAATCTGTTCACATGCAAAATATTGGTAAAAAAAAAAATCAAAGAAATCCATGCAAATAAACCAAACTGGTCTATAAGTTTTGTGCATTAAAGTGGAATGACACAGGGAATTTGTATGTGTATGAAATAGCAGAAAAGACTTTGTTGGTAATATCTTCATGACGTCTTCTGAGAATTACTAAATTCTGTCAGTATTTAGAAAGCAATCCTGCCTTCTATCAGCTGTTCAGTCACACCTGATGACCTATACAAAGGTTGCTCATTACCAAGATTAAAGGTATCATGCAAGAAGTATCTCATAATGGGTAAAAGCAAAAACGTTCTCTCAAGACCTTCACAATCTCATTGTTGCCAAACACAGAGATTTTATTTAAACCCGATTTCTAAAATTGTGAATGTTCCCATGAACACCAAATGGACCCTTATCTGGAAGTGTGAGAAAAAATAATTTTAGTATAAACCAGCCACCTACCAGGTAGTTCTAGGAAACTATCTGACAGAGAACTAAAAGAAAACAACAGTAAGAATTGAAAAGTCGAGGACCACGCACAGAAAGCCTCAGAATAACCTGGAATTAGCAAAAGTGTTTTTCCATGTAAACTTCAAGAAATGCACTTAACCACAAAGACTACTATGCACATTTGTTGCATAAGACTACAAGTTTGTACAAGAACATTTGGTTAAAACGATAAAATACAGGGAGAACAAAATGTGGTCGAACTAGACCAAAATTTCACACAAGATGTTTGAAGGAGCAAAATGACATTCTACATTACCCAAAAGCACAATAACAACAATGCAGTTTTGAGGAGGGAGCGTCATGGTGTAGGACTGTTATTTTTAGAACATGGTACTAGCGGACTTCTAATGATTGAAGAAAGGATGAATGGAGAAATTTACTGAAACATTTCTGGTATGGATCTGCAAATAGAATCTTGGGCATTTCAGCAAGATGAAGATCCCATGAATTCAGATAACGAAACTCCCAACTTGTCTCAGAGAATCTCATTGAAATACAGTGGAAAGAAGTGAATGGTTATGATCCTTGGGTGTTGGGTTTTATTTTTCATATGTTTGTTTTCTGATCACTTATTTGTGTTGGTTCTACAGATCTAGCCATATTCACCTTATTTATTTGTGATAATTCCTGTTAGTAAGGTGTTGTCATGTCAGTTTCTTCCCTTTTGTTTACTTTCTCAATTTATCCGTTTTTTTTTTTTGTGCATTTGGATTTATTTCCCCTAGATGCGTGTTACTCTTTTCATTCTGGTTTATAGTCCCCGTTCCCTTTGGGTAATTAATTTCCCTCCATCAGTTTCAATGTTTTCCTTCTGCCACAGCTGTACCACATCTCCTTTGATTAGTTCATCTGATTCCTTTGTCATTTTCTTTCCCTGCCTTGGTATTTAGGCTCCTGGCTTTTCATTGTTCATTGCTGGATTTTTCCGTTATTCTGTCTGACTCTTCTGTGACTCCTCCCCGTCCGCAGCTTAACCTTGCTGGCCGTTATTACAGAACTCTGTCACAGTCAGGCTCTGCATTTGGATCTTTCAAGTTGTTCAACAAAACCTTAATATGACATGAATAGAAGAGAGTTCTCCAGAACATGTGAGATTAAACGACGGAAGAAGGGTTCAGAATCACACCTGAGCAATGCATGCAAATAGTTTCTCCGCTTGACGCCACAATCGCCAAAAAAAAGGCTTTTCTACTGAACATCAAATATAAAAATACAATAAAATTTTCTAAAAATAATACAATTTCAGAAAGCATGTGTAAAACTTATTCCTTGTACTGTTTCACTTTTTTACACACAATCTGTGGACATGATTTTGTTGATTTGTTCTCATGTGTGGGTTGTTTTCGACAGAACACATTTCTTTCATGTCAGTGCATAAATATATTTACAGAGAAAACGACTGATGAGTTCAGTGTTCATCTCCCTGCTGTGTTTGTGAGTATGTCTGAACTGTTTTAAAAATAGCACAAACTATCCTGAAGACCTGCAGGAAAGTTGGATTCTGCCATGGTTATAAGAGTTCAAGAAGAAGAAGGGATTGACATAGAATAATGCAAAGAAAAATGGAAAAAAAAAATTACCGAAGCAGTTTGCTTTATGAGGAACAAACATCTTGCAGGCAGTGGCTATCTGCAGCTCGGCGCTAAGCACGGCTTTGATGATGAGGTCCTCCACTTGCCTCATCAACACTAGAAGGGAATAAATTGTTTAAATGTGATTCAATAAAACTCATGAGGTCTTAGACGCAAAAAAAAAAAAATCCTCAATAAAAATAAGACTGCCTCACTCACATGTGGTGTCCTTTCCCTCCTCCTTCAAATACCTCAACACTGCACTCATACTCCATTTGTTCCCATAATCCTCAACTTCAGGGTCATCGCAGCTGAAAGGGAAGAAATGCACTTCAAAGACCAAAGCTGAGGTAAAGGGATGAGTCAGGGGGCTTCCCTTAAAAGCAACACACTCAACAGATTTATGAGGCACTGAAGCAGCTTACCTGACATAATCACTGCTCTTTTTGTTCAAACTGTAGTTGGTGAGATGCATGAAATTGTTCTTGATGTGTGTTGTAGTCTGATCGTACTTAACTGTAGCAAATCTGTGGAGAAAAAGGTTCGTTTTTTTTTTTTTTTACTCGAGATAAAGGGGAAAAAAAGAATGCACATTCTCTTCTACGTTCATGAAGCTGTAACTTGACTTAATAATTGCGGCACGTAAGGGAGAAAATAGTCTCTGATAGAGTTTCAGGGCAGTTAGTGCCACATGTGGTATAATGAAAATTCTTTGGCACACCACCGCGTACCTGAATATCAACACCACCAAAGGAATGTCAGGAGATAAAAGCAGGATTCAGAACTTGGCCATGATTTATTGCTCACAGTTGATAATGAAGCCAGCAAAATAAGAGGGCAGTGGCACCGTGTTTCCAGCATGAGCACATACTTCTATCAGAGCGAGGCGAGGAGCCAGCTATTCACTAAATCATCTTCCCTCTCCTGGCCTACCTGTATCAGTTCATAGTCCGTTTATGGTTTAACTTAGAAAAATGTTATCACTTTCAAATAAAACAAAAATAAATAAAAAATAAATTTAAAAAACTTAAGAAATTCTGTTGAGTTATGTTCAGATGATATCTGAACAATAACCGAAAAAAAAAAAAAAACAAAAAAAACATTTGATTAGCACATCCTACAACTGAAACAATGGAGTGCTTTGTTTCAACATCTCCACAGCAGTTGGACACAGAGGCTGATTTCTAAAAGCTTGGGGTGCCCTCTTGTGGAAACAGAAAGAATATCACTATGATTAATCTAATAAAGCTTAAAAAAGAAACGTAAACAGTAAACTACCTACAGAATTTAAATCCACACTTAAAGCACAATTGAACAAACTGGCAGATTGCTCAAAACTTCACCTTAACATAGCATGTATTGTCAAACATGCTAAAAATGTCATAATATTCAGCAATACATGATAATTCTGTTTTACTTGGATTTATTTTAATTTATTTAGAGCTAAATACATTAACGAAGATAGTGTTCAGAAATTACTTTTGATGTGAATTTGCAGTGTAGAATGAATGAATATACTTTATTAATCCCACAGTGAAATTCACAATAGTAAAAAAAAATGGCGAAAACACTTTAGTACCGTTAGAGTTCGCATTTTTATTTTCTTCCTGAACATTTATTTCAGGTGACAGAGTTATGACTAATAAATTAAACAAAGCAGAATGTGAGCTAAAGAGGTACAAAAAGCGTATCATCTATCAGTTCACATGAAACTGCTTTTACTTTGAATGGTTTTTAACATGTATATGTAAATATGAAGTTGAAGTCATCACAATTATTTTCAGCTTACATGCTTGAATAAAGAGTGAGACATATTGCCTTTGGTGTCACTTTGCACATTAATAGAAAACAGATGAAAATAGGTATTTGCATCTTTCTGTATGCATAATGTCAGTGACTGTGACATTTTATAACACATACAAGTAAATCTGTTACCTTCACTTGTTACATAATTCTGCAAACATCAAACATAACTTTAAAAAATTTGACTTCACAATTTGATGCCTTGAAATTGCCCCGTCTCTTTAAGAAGCTCCTACTCTATGACACTTCATCGTCAGCATATCATCACAACACACTTTCTCCGTTAATTAAACTGTTTACACTTTTTCTTGGGAGCGTTGGACTGAGAAGTAGTTCATATCATAAGCTCAGATGACGCACAGTTTCACCAAATGTTTGCCAATTGCTGTAGCTGTGTAGGGAAGGCTCAGGGGCTGGATGGAGACTGCAGCTCTAAGGAGGAGCTTTGAGGAAATAGGCAGAGATTTGTGTTGTCAGACAATTACTGTTCCCACTAATCCAGAGCCAACCCTTAAGGAAACCCCCTCCTGTATGGTCCAACCCTGTGAAATGTTATAGTTGGCCGATTGGTAAAGGAGGGATGTAGAAAGTACGGATGTACCAATAACTGTGCCACCAGTTATTTTGTACAAAAATATGGGGACTGAGAGATGCTGCTAAAAATATTACTGTCATGATCTGTGGCTTTTGTTCATTCTTTAGCTTACAGATTTCAGGTGCTTTCTTAAGTTTAGTACTTAAATAGTTGATATATTGCTTGTGATTGTAATTTGAGATGTTACTACAGACTCCCAACAAGGTTTTCCAGACTCCTCTTTGTAATCCTTGCGGTGCTTTATGTTTTCCATGTTTTGAACTTTATCAAAGGTTGATGTTTTTGTTATTAAAATACTGTTTTTGTTCGCACTCATGTGCCTGCATGTGGGTCCTGTCTTCATTCAATTAAGAATTTACATACACTTACCTAGCGAGACCCTCTTCATAGACATAGATGAGCAGCGGGTTGAAAGATGTCACCACTACATATAAACGAACGTCAAACTTGAACTCTGCAAGCAAAAACAATGAGGACTGATCATAAAGAGTTTTAATGTCCAACAGTCAAAATATCCACTATGTCTTACCATCGATTAATAGGGGGTTATTTATGTAGCGTGACACCAAGACGTTTTCATCCATTAAAATCTGATTTGGCTGTTCATGGGAAGCGACATAAAGGTGACAACATAAAGAACACACAAAGAGGATATGCAGTCAGTATTTCATCTTGGAGATAAAGCAACAATGTACAAGTTAATTCACATAAAACAACATTAAAATATCGACTCCAAGCAGCTGCCACGACATTGCAGTTAATCGTGAACATCAAAGGACCGTCACATGGGGAGACTTTTCTGCAACGCTGGTCATAGCAGGTCAACCTTCAATAACAGCCTATAAAAACACAATCTGGTGCTGGGAGATGGGTCATTTATGTGTTGCAGGTGGTGAAGTTGAGTTGAGATTGGAAGGGTGGGGGTAGAGTAAACCCAGCGCTGGCAGGAGTTCAGAGCAAAACCAAACCGAAAAGATGGACGTATTTCTTTCTTCTCTCCAAATATCAAGCTGACATTCTTTCCACCATTGCATAAAAATGCCTGAGAAGAAGAAGAATCGTGGACATATTTTCCAAGAGTGAGAACCTTGTTGGCCTCCTCTGAGAGCGGAGTCCTTGGAAGCGTGTGATTTACTCCACTGGGCTTATTAATGTCTGGTTGAAACTTATTTCAAAGACAACTGTATCAGCGCAACCCCCACACTCGGATAACATCTGGCAAAGTGACTGCCTGGGTTCACACAACATTTTTCACGTCCGTGTGCACAAACTGTACTCCTACACGACTAATGTAAATCTGTGCTAACACATGAATTAATAGGACACAGGAAAAAAATGACTGACACCAGGGCATTTATATTAAAAGGGAGGTTTGGTATCTTCTGTTTCAAGTATGTGGTAATTTATCATCTCTATCTAAAGTATTTTTTTTTTCTTAAATCACACTGGTCCTACACCCCTTTGTTCTGTAATTATTTTTCAGCTTTTCTCCTACTGCAACATCATACACAATTAAACAAAAATATTTTTGTTATTTCCACACACAAAAAAAACTGTTTTAAGCAAAGAAAAACCTGAGCAGAGAAAACAGAAGAATATTAGTTGGCAAAAAAAATTAGAAACAAATAAAATAGAAAACGGAACAATTAAATTTAAATGGCTTCAAGTAAATTCATCTCTTCTCCAACTCATATCACAATTTCATCTATTTCATCTTTCCTACATACGTTTTGGAGTTGGAAATTGCACAGTTTTAAAAAGTGAAAATCACTTACATTGCTGACCAAATAGATTCCCCGTCCTCTTGAAGATGCAACTGGTTTAATTATCCATGGTCCCTTGTCCTTAGCAAAACAACCTGAGTGGGACACAGAGGACTTTTGGAAAGCACTACAGATGTCGGACACTGTGAAAAATTAAGTATCTTTCAAAAAGCATTTACACCCCTTCAACTTATTGTTATTTTGTAACTTTATTACAAGAAACTTTTATGTATTTTTATTGGGGTTTTATGTGATAAACCAACAGAAAAAAAGACAGGTTTTTGAATTATGAAGAAGGAAAATTGTACATGGATTTCAAACATTTTTAGAAATAAAATTCTGCATTTTGTAGGGGTAATCTCAAAGCATGATGTTTTACAGTGTGGACGTTGTGTGCGGGACGATATGCCGTGTCGGTTCTCCGACACACGCTCCTTTAGCATGTAAGGTTTGAAGTTCTAATTTAGTGTCACCTGACGAGCGCACTTTCCTACAACTTTATCTGTGATCTGCCTGATGTGCTTATTGGTCTTGGTGATGCTGTTTGTAGGCTAATGTTCTGCAACAAACCACTGAGGCCTTCACAGAACAGCTTTATTTGTTCTGAGAGTAAATTACACCGTGTGGACCTTCATTTGCTAATCAAGTGACTTGTTAAGCTAATTGTTTCACTGGATTTTATTTCGGGCTATTATATTAAATGGAGCTGAATACAAATGTACATCATACTTTTCACCATTTTATTGGTAAACAACCATTTAATCTCTCCCCTCCACCTCTACATAATTAGGCACAATTATTGTGTTAAGTTTCAATTAAATAATTTGAAGTCGATGGTTGTACTATATGACTGAATGTGAAAAAAGTTGAAGGGGTATTAATACTTTTCCAAGTATTCTATATCATAAAGGCAGCTCTGCTTAAGCTAAGTGAATCAGGTGAGGGTCTTACTGCGGAACTCCTCGCTCTCAGAGGGAAGCACAAAGGTCTGAGGAATTATATGGAAGTTTTTGAAGCCATAAGTCTGCTGCATCCGCTGGATGTTTTTATAGAGATGGTCTTTGCGAGTTAATTCATATGACCTGGAAATCAGCAGAGATTTCAGTTGAAAATGTGCTCTACTTTGACATGACATAACAAATACAGAAATAGATGACAGCCATAGAACACCCCCCTGCCTGACAGCGTGATTCATTTCATGCTTCAGAGAGGCACCAGTCCAAACTAAATGTGTGTTGCAGGGGAAGCCAAAAAATACATTGCCTGAACTGAGGGGTTTGGAAAGGATTAGTAGTGTTATTTATAATACAGAAACCAGTAACAGGACACCTGGGTATTTCAGCGTACCTGGGAAAGTGGTTGACCTTCTGGAACTCTTGAAGGCTGTGTAGTAGGTAAGGCTTGAGGTGAGATCCAGTCCACATCAGGTTGAAGTTGTTACTGTTTGGGTGAACCTGAATGACAGAAACGTGGACCGACTTGCGCTTAATCCCATCCCATAAAGCAATCACTACAATAAAGTTAGTTAAATCCCTGCCATGCAATGTGAAATAAAATCCAAGACCAGCACTGAATTATGTGAATTTCAGAACCAGATCACTCCATGGCCAATGGACAAAATTACAGCATGGACTTTTAAAATTACATCAGAAAAACAGCCAACCCAAAGATTTTCCTTTGTGCCATGGGAATGCTTTGCTCAGTTTTACACTAAATACATTACTAAAAAAAATAATATTTATCAGAATACAAAATTCAAACAACTACTCTGTTTTTGGGGCTACCACCACATGTTTGTAATAAAGTGTGGCTCTTTAGTGGCAGACACTCATGTTAATTTGATCACTGGTCAAATGAAAGTCAACAAGCACAGGACTAAAACATAAAAGAGGTTTAAAGGTTAACCAAACAGAGGATTGCAACCATTGATAATGCTTTGAATGTGTAATTGTTTTCTCCAGAGCAGCTCTGACAGTTGCATTGGGAGTAAACAGATGAAAGAAAAAGCTGAATGTTTGCTTTTCGTCCTAAGGGACACAAATCTTTTAAACCTGCATGAATGAAGAATGAGCATTACCTCATGAAACCCATGATTCATGAGTATCCGTCGTACTAGGCGGCTATCTGTGCGAACAATCTTGAAGGACATATTATATCTCTCTGGTGAAAGGAAAACACACAAGAGACAAGCAAAAATTAGACTGTCCAACTTATTGATGTTCTACATTTAAAATGTCTTATATAACTTTAAATGTCTGTACCTCCAACAGAGCAGATACGCCTGTTTTTTGAAACAACAGCCTCGGGTAGAAAAACAATAACTGGGATTGTCCTGCTAATGCCACTCCATGCGATGCAAGGATGTTCTCTACTCGGAAAATTAGACATGTGACATAAAAACCTAGTGAGTAAAAAACATTACTGAATAAGAAAAATTGCAACCATATAACAGAAATCATCTTTGAATGTTATAGCCCAAATTTTTAGCTGCCATTACTAGGCACAGGATGGCTGCTGGTCAATGTAACAAGGTTTTCCTCAACTACATGGATTCATTGTGTTCATAATATGAAAGAAGCTTTGTTTTGCTCTGTTTAATAGCCAAATTGTAGCACTGTTATGGTCTGTTTTACCTGTTAAGCAGCCTTTACCTGTTTGAAAGAATACAAAAAAATGATTTTTGCAAATCTTCAAAGTTGCAAAAGACAGAGCTATGGAATACCTCACATCATTGTTAGTAAGATATAATTACGGTAGGTTTATTTATAAATACTAAATATATTAAAATATTTTAGTAGCAGTAGAAATAACTATTTTTTTCTGTTTTGTTTTAAAGGGAAATAGTCAATGTTATACATTTCGATTTTAAATTTCTGTGCAAGAACCCAGCTGTTGTGTAATCATAGTTTTTACTTTAAAAATCTCATACTAGCTCATGCCTTATCATTACAAAAAAGCATGAACATCTGAGCCAGATAAAGACAAGAATCTGGTAAGGCCAGTAACAAATGCATCCCCTCACTGTACTAACTCACCCTCATACAAAACTTCAAACCAGTAGTGACATGCATATCACATAGCAAATATAAGATAAGGCATGACAGTGATAAAGTGCGACTCAATCAGGTATGACCGGTATAGATAAAGCGGGTGAAATGTAAACAATTCCTCCATCCAGTTTTCAAAGCAACTATGAGGAACTGTGTGGAAAATAAGTTTCACTGAGATATCAAGACAAATACACTTGACAAGCTATTCTGATATTTTAAATGGATATACCAGATAAAAATAAAAGTCTTATCACAACTGCATCTCGGAACTCATTCAACTTAAAATGCTTAAGAAAGGCATTGAAAAAAAGATACCTGAAAATATTTCCAACTGAAAATGAGGGACCAGCAAACAATATGCTAGAAAACATTCAGCAAACTTTCAAAATATCATATACACGACACTGTCACTGTACCTTACTTACTGAAACTAAGACCAAATATAGGTAGCACCCACTGTTAAGAAAAGGTTAACATTTTTTATTTTTTCTCAAGAATTGTAAATTTCACACCGGCAAGTCCTTCTTTTTCTCAGCAAGACAATGGATAATCTGCACAGTTCTGCAAAAACAAAGTGTTGTTAGCTAACTACCATGCCAAACTGAAACCATTATTTTGTGTTTTACTCAAAACAGCTAATACTTATATTTAAGATCTCTCTAATACTATTTTCATGGAACAAAATAAAAAAAAAAAAAACACTAAAGTTGTACTGCTGTGTCTTGCACTCTTGGAATATTGCATTTATTAATGCATGTTCATTCAGAGTACGCATGCCTCACTTTAGACTCTAGTATCTTTAGTAGTATCTGTAAAGTTATACGTCGTAGTACTTTGAATTATTCAGTGTAATGTGTTGCCTGATTGTTGTACATTGCCCTGTTCTAAATTATTGATTCCTTCTAATACAAAAGACAAGATAAGGTTGAAAAGCACAATAGCTATACTATATTTTATTTTATGTTACATAACTTGTGTTAAAGATTTGTTTTCAAAATAAATGTCTTAACACTGTTATAATGAGAGAAATATAAGAATTTTTAGTCAACACAAACTGACTTAGGACAAGCACACTGAAAGCAGATGATACAGTAATGGTCAGTAAGGTATGACTAAGAATAGCTTGAAGAGGGAATTATTTGGCCAAAAGAAGAAAGACCAGCTGTCCAATTCACAATGGAGAGCTAGCTTATCCTCTTTGCATATCAAAAATTTATAATAAACTCTTCAATGATGAGATCTGATTTTGTCTAAAAAAAAAACATTTTGGTTAGAATGTATTTACTTAGAATTTCGCAAAATATCCCTAGAGATTGTACACCAACAATTAAATAATACAATTTAGATAAACTGACAATTTGTAAAGATATAGACTAGAAAAAAAAACTATGATCTTGATCCATCAAGGTGGCATATTAATCATATCTTAAGAGGCACATATTGTAGTGTCAGCCAAGGGATCAGCAAGGTAAGAACCTAAGTGAGACTAAAGAGGACAGTCTAATTACACAAGCTGCACACACTTTGAGAAAGAGCCTCTCTGCAGCTTGTAATGGTAGAGAAAACATTGTGCAATACGATAAGACCATTAAAATAGAAAGCCTACAATTGGAATGCTTAAGAATGGTATCCAATCTAAAATATTTAAGATTGATTTATTTGTCATTTCAGATATGAGCAAAAAAAACATCTGACTGAAGCAAAATTATGCAAAATATCTACACTTCTTTATGCTCGACTAGGGCCGATATTATGTTGTTGTGGTGACTGAAAATATAGTTTTTCGGTGTCATTGAACATTTTAAAATAAATTGTAGAATTCAATCTAATAATTTTTATTTTAAATACAAAAAACAGACTAAAGTATACAATAACATGCAATATACAATAACCACAAATTGTGTTTATTATAATAACTCTTCAGTTGTTCAGCATATAGTATATGTAAAACATGTCACATCTATGTAAAACATGAAATACAACGTGCTTAGATCCAAATGGGATGAGTGGCATTTAAATACCAGTATTACGGATACTGTATTGCTTTTCCTCCCACTTCCACCAAATGTTTGCACACAGGCTATTGTTTAAACGATGTAAGACAGATTGGTAATTAGCTTAAATGCGTTGTGTTCTAACAGACCTAAGTGTTTTTTGTCATCAACATTTGGCTTTACAGCATTTGGCTGTACTTTCACTCCAACACACAAGCTGTCCCAAAATATGACTGCACAAAAAGACAGAGCTCATCATTTTTTAATTTATGTCTAAAACTAACTGCTAAGATATACAATAGATATACTGTAAAATATAATAAGATTATTAAATAAAATGTTTTATATCCTAAATATATTTACATTTGTTTCCACACCACAAAAAATATCCCACAGCAAGTTTCTAGAACAGATTGCTATTATTATTATTATTATTATTATTATTATTATTATTATTATTATTATTATTAAAGTGCATCAAACAGCAGAAGAGGAGTTCTGAGATTACCCATGTTCGTCCTCAGAAGAAGATTCTGAGTCCTCTTTCTCCCGAACCACGGCTGGCATTTTCCCATCAAAGTCAGGCTGACTACCCGGTGAAATCCTCCAGGTAATAACGAAAGCTGCTCTACTGAGAATAGTGGTGGTTACATATGTACGTACACATATTATAGCACTAATTTCTCTAAGCAGCAAATACCGACATCCGCATTAAATGTATAAATTAGTTCAGACAAAAATAACACCTTCATAAATCTACCTGTGGCGGCGATGAAACCTTCTTACTGCACATACACAAGACGTTGGCACGGACTGGCGGTTATACCATATGCTGGTACCAACCAAAACAGAGTCACTTTAGATGTAAAACCAAAGTAACAGTATTACTGAACCTAAGTATAAATGTGAACCAATATAAACTTACCCGTACCTTCTGGTGCAGAAACGCTAACAGCTAACTAGCTGGCGGAAGCATCACAGCGCCGTTAATCTTCCTGGTTACTACAACAACTGAGTAGCAACAGTGCAGTGGGCATGCGCACTAGCTAAAAACGGTTGTCCACGTGAGGAACGTTTAAACTAAACGTTAATCCCCCTTTACAGCAGGTGTTAGTAAATTAAATCCACAAAGAAAGACTTGTTTTATAAGAAATGGGACTGTTGTCAAATCGTTTTTGGATTATATTAATGTAAATATGTGTTGTTTTTTTTTTTTATTTGATTCACATCATGAAATTAAATCCGAATCTCATGTAAAATTCCATATAAAATTGTGTCGACTTGCGCAATATTTACCAACCCATTCAACACCTTTTATTAAGCCATTTTATTAAGCCATTCATTTCTACATTGAAATTTTTTTTATGGTGTGATGTAACATTCTGATCTTAAAGGTTATTACCAGCTTCTATGACGGAGACAAGTTGTGCAGAGATGTGAATGTGTCATCTTTCAGTTTTCATTGCCACTATTTGTAATATAAACAAAAAACTGGGAGCTATGTCACAAACCTACTTCCTGATTTTACAATATGTTCATTCCACCTTGATTTTTTTTATAATTATAAAATTTATTTAAAAAATTATGACATCTTGACAACCCTGTTGTGACCAGATAATTGGTTTAACTATGGTTTCAGATCACTTTTTTCATCTTTATGAATAAGCAAAATACTTCTTGAACCAGACTTAATTTAGATATAAGTACAATAGCTCAGTAGAAGTTCAAGGCAGCATACAGTCAGAAGGCTGTATGTGGGATGAGGAAAACAACTGACAGACAGATTGATGGTTGGACAAACATAAACAAAGTCTGAGAGAACATGTATTTTTCTCCCCTTTTTTTTCCCCTTTCAATATATCAGAACCTGAAAAATGCTTCAATTTTATGCTTTAAGAAACCCTCTGAACTTTGTAAATGTGTCATGCAATTTTAGTACGTCTGGCTTAGATTATGTTGTGTGGTTTTCTAAAGTCAAAATTAATGAGACCATTTCTGTTGTAAATCATCCCTAAATATAATTTCAGCCCATGTTTCAAGCCAAACCCCAAAATTATGCAATTAACTGTTACAGTGTAATAAAATCTGCAGTGACATCTATGTACTAGCCCCTCCCCTATCTAGAAACACTAACATGCTGTCTACACGCTATGCGAATGGGTGAATTGTTATTGGTCCGCATAAGAAATTGGGCGGTACCTTAAGTTTTAGGACGACCAATCATAATAATGGTTCGATTGAATGGAGCCATTTTTGGAGTCTTGTTATTGGCTTACCCTGTGGCCAAAGATTGGGGAAAAGTCACCGTTTCAAATGTAGCTAAATACTCGGTTGGCTGAAGTCCACCTGTGGTTTTTAGTATTTTGTCTTGCCAGATTGTGTTTTAGAAACATGACGACGCTGTAGTCTGGCTATCGCTGGTGGGTAGCTATGGTTTTCTTTGTTTGTTTTTTCCCCCTCATTGACGAATTTACAAAAATATTAGTCTGTTCAAAGATATTAATGATTGTAATCTCTGACAGATGACCTTGAATGTGTGCGTTAAGCCGCTCGGTTGCTCCTGCGGTCTGAGCTTTCCTGGACTACTGTGAGCCGACAGACTCTCTGACAGGTGCGTCACTGACAGCAAATATGAGCCGCTTTCTGAACGTCCTCCGGAGCTGGCTGGTGATGGTGTCCGTCATCGCGATGGGAAACACCGTGCAGAGCTTCAGGGACCACAGCTTCCTCTCAGAGAAACTGTACACGGGAACGCCAGAGTTTGGTGAGTATGTATAATGTCAGATAGAAAAGTTAGGACAACCCGTGTGTTTTCTAACAGTTCTGATATTCGATTTCTGATTTGGGATCAATTTGAGCACATCATTTTGCAACTTATGCGTTTGCAAAGGTTTTTGGAACTCAAATCAGTTAGAAATCTGACATAACACAATACAGAGAATAGTTTACAAATGGAGGAGATTTAAGACAACTGCCAACATGCCCAGGTCTGGTCTTCCATGCATGTTCACCCAGAGAACAGATAGCAAAACGCTTAAAGAAGTCTCCAAAATCCCCTAAATACCACAAAACCAACAAGCTTTTGCTGGCGTTGATTCAAAAGTAAACGGAGATGTAGGCAAGAAAAGGACTTCTGGAAAAATATGGACATCTGAGTATAAACTTGAATTATTTATATTTGGAAACAAGAACAGAAAATGTGTTTGGCTTAAACCACATACAGGAAACAAACCTCATACTGAAAAGCATGGAGCTGGAAGTGTCACGGTTTTGGGATCTGGACCAGCAGACCATTATAAAATCAAACATCAAGTATCAGAGCAGAATATTTGAGAACATTTATAATGAGAGTAAAAAGATTAAGCACAGATCTCGATTTGAAATGGACTTTACATGCAAGAAACCCCTCAAACATCTCAGTTGAATGTTGGAGTAGAAAAAAAAAAAATCCTCGGATTGATGTCAGCGACTGTTAAACAATTACAAGTCTCGCACCACACCACCTGGAAGGAGATAGAACTGGCAAATGTTGACCAACACAGCAAGGTTTATTTTATGATCATGTAGCTAATCAAAAACAGGCTTTAAAAGATTCATACATATACTGACTGCTTCATTATGCCTCCATCTCTACTCCTCCACTTTCTCTAGTAAATGGTCTCCAAGCTCGAACATTTGGTATTTGGACATTGCTGTCGTCAATCATCCGCTGTGCCTGTGCCATTGATATCCAGAACAGAACGTAAGCTATACGGTTACGTTTTCTTGGTTTACAATCATATGGTCATATTAATACATATTGGCTTCTACAGGCTGTATCACATTACCTTATGGACATTTGTGTTGGCACTGGGTCACTTTCTGTCGGAAGCATTCATCTACAAAACTGCACCACTGACTATTGGAGTGATGGCACCACTCCTTGTTGCAAGTGAGTATGGAGGGGTAATTGCCTCAAATTTAGGATTTTATGCTTGAAACTTTTACTGGAAATTTATTCATTTGAAAAGCATCACATCTTATCTTGCTTTTCGCAGGTTTTTCCATCATAGGAATGCTCATTGGATTCCAGTGTTTTCCAGAGATTCAGGAAGAAACGGGAGCACGGCAGAAGAAGCGAAACTAGTTTCCTCCTCCTCCTATTGGCCGAATCCACCACCAGCACACAAGCTTGGACCAGTAATTGTGTGCCGGCTTTGGCATCATGAAAGAAGTTCACATGTAAATTACTTTTTTGAGAGACTTTGTATTTTACCCTTTACATCCTTTGTATAAATATATATTTTATCGTTGACAGTGCAGTAGTGGGTTTGCAGTGGTGGGGGTGTTCTGGGTTTACCTACTTAACATTCAAAGGAGCAATATTATAGCAGGGTTAAGCCACATAGTAATCTGGAATATAATTTTTTCACTTCATCTCTATTTTTTTTCATCAGTTCAGACTTACCAAAGAACTACATCATGTAACTGTTTTACACACACACACACACACACACACAGTAGCCGTTTGATTTTTACCTCAGAAACAAAGTTGAGGTTTTATGAACTCGCAATAAGAAAAGTATTTATCTGCACAGCAATTCAGACATCTTGATTTTAAAGGTGTAATTGTTTTTTTTTTTTTTTTTTTGCATTATTTTCAGGAAATCATCCATGCTCGATATTTGAATTAAACTTCACATTTTTTGCCAGCATTTCTGGTTTTATTTCTTCTTCTGATGAATATATAATTCAAACATGTACCCAACGTCCTTCATGATTCACAGATCTATCAATCTATCTTCAAATAGGCACAAAATACCCAATTACCTAAAAAATATTGAGGTTAACCATCTGGGGATTCTAGGGTGTTTGATCAAATTTGATTATCAAAGAAACCGAGCTGGTTCTCCAGACATTAAACCTTTGCATTTTTGGTTGGAATTTTGTCCCATTTTAGTATGCGTGTTTTTTTTTTTTGTATCCAATTTCCTGTACTGTTTTCTTGTTACCATATCTTTATTTTGATGGAACTGTGTCATCTCTCTCCTTCTCCCAACCCATCCTAAGGTGTTTAAAATCCCCCTTGTGGTTCATTTATGTCTGTTTAATTTTTGGTTTTTAGCCTAAGCTTACCAACTGCTCCTCATGCAACCTGTTTTACTTCTCTTTGTAACCAGTTTTTGGTGGGAATTTTAATATTAGTAGTATTTTGTTGCGTCTCCCATGTCATGTTTTTCCAAGGTCATTTGAATCCATCTTATTTTCTGGTGCTTCCTAAATCCCCAATATATTCATTATGAAAAATGTTTTACAAATTAAAATTCTGAAAACTACTTTAAATTACTGAACGACTCAGTGATTCAGAAATATAAGCCAGGAGGTGAGTGCAAATAAGGAAAAACTCATTGTTACAGCAGCACAGAAATATTTATTATCACCAATATAAATGTGCAACGTACAAAAGCTTGTAGTCAATGTTTGGCAGTGTTACAGTACATAGTTCTACAATGACTTTCTCGCAGCTACAGAATGATCTGATTCTGTAAATCATCTAATATTCCCACATAAAAAATGTAATGTATGCATTTTCCACAAACATGGACAAAGGAACTAAAAGTCATTTCCACACTATTTGATATTCTATTTTCAGAAATTGGTACCAATTCATCAATCAATAAACCCATCAGTCCATTTATTTACCCACCATCCATTGATCAGCATCAATCCACTCCTCTCTATTCAATATTCATCCACCCATTCATTTCACTATCCATCATTCACCCAGCCTGGTTTTTAAAGTTTCATAATCACAGTCCATCCGCTGTAGAAAATTATGTCATCAAGTTGAAATTCTACGTTAATTTCCAGAAAAAAAAAAAAAAAAAAGTTGTACCAGAAATCAGTGCCAACTCCGCTCACACAACCTTAAAATATCATTCTGGAAAAAATATGCAGTGAAGACATTTGTGTGCAAAATGGCATATTTTCTTTTTTATCCATCTTGTTTTGTGCCAAAATTCTTCATCTTCTAGATATTAAAAAAAAAAAATGATTCAGACATTCTTGTAAAATGAGGAGAAAACTGACCTCTGTGAGTGTACTCTGATGCACAGCATCAATCAGTATTTATACTTGGCAGAATACCAACCAGGTGATCCTTTAATGGCAAACGGGTGACATATGAGCCTTTCTCAATGTAAAGGAAGGACGTCCCAGTTATGATCTGCATTTAAGATCACTCTGATAAAACACAGAACTCAAATAGGTGCCTTCAGAGTAAATACTTAAGTTCAGTTACACACAGCACAAGTATCAGGAAACACAGATTAATATTATCTAAAAAGTCGTGAAAATATGTTACTAAAAAACCCATTGGAACGTTAATAGATAGGAGTCAGAAAATTAGAGAGTGTCTCAACTGTAAGTGATGCATTTTCTGAAAGTGCATTTCAAACGTGTATAAAAGTTGGTTTAGAAATTGCATTTTAAATACTAATGTGATTCTTTTTGTTGCACGTCAGTACAGTAAAAAAAAAAGGAGCAGCAGTTCTTGATACTAAAGAATCAAAGATGGGTGTCCATCATGGTCACAGAGTCTCCATATACTCACTAGTCACAGCAGCATGTTGCATTGTAGTTACTTTGGCATGTTTACACATGCCGACATGTCCCTTAAGACTTTGTTTCTTCTCTTTGTGGTTTGCTGAGGAGACATCATTTCACCTTAGAACTTCCTCTCCTTCAGGATTCCTTCTTGAACATCAGTGGCCATCACCTGGAAGAGACATGGGCAGACGATAAGCACTACTACAGCTTAGAAAACATTAATTAGTTACCATCACCATGCAGATTATACACAACTAGAACCTAGGTCCAAATAGTGATTGAATCATATCTGAACCTTTAGAGTCACAAAGATATTTACAAAGCCAGCCTTCTACCAACTGAAGAATATTTCCAGGATTAAAGGACTACGGTCCCAGCAGGACAAAGAGAAACTCATTTATCAATAGTGTCTTCATAGGTCTGTCTATGAAAAAAAGAAAGAAAAAAAAGAAGACCACTGTTGTTGACCCAGAATGCTGCTGCTTGGGTTCTCAGTAAAACCAGGAAGATGGTGCACATCATCCCAGTTCTAACATCCTTACTCTGGCTCCTTGTAGCTCAGATAATAAACTTTAAAAAATACATTTGTTAGTTTATAAATCACTGAACAGATTAAGACCGAAATACAAGACCTGTTGCTGTACCAACCTTCCAGACCACTCAGGTCTTCTGGTTCAAGTTTATCAGTAACCAAAACCAAACATGGAGAAGCAGCACTCAGTTTTTATGGTAGAACAAACTTCCCAAAAACTGCAATGCTACTGGAATACAGTTTCTTTAAATCAAGATTAAAAACTCTCCTTTTTAAAGTTATTGACTAGTAAGTGGAACACTGATCAACATATTTGATATGCATTGATGACAACATTTGACAAAATGATACGTTTGCTTGTTTTCAGAACTGGTGACTGTTTTTATCATGTAAAGCACTTTGAACTCCCTTGTTGATGAAATGTGATATACAAATAAACTTGGCACAAACTGATTATGTTTGCATCAACAAGAATATAATCGGTGTAAGGGCTACAGTTTGCCATAGTTTTCATACTTTTGAGGTTTCAGGGAGTTTTTGTTCATATGACCCTACCTTGTTGTCACATCCATTTAGATTTTTGTGAAGTTGTGAGGTAAAGTCATGACTCCTGCTGCATGCTGTGGCTCCGTAGTCTCGCACTGGTGTCTTGGACTCTGTAGGCTGTAATCATAGCTCCAGTATCAAAGATCTGGGGGGCCCTTAGGGTCACCTTTATCCTTCACACCATATCACCTCTAAGCTCTTTGTACAGACTTTAATAAGGAAACTGTAGCATACCTAAGATCAAACTTAATTTCCAGAATAATTTAGTTTCCAGGTATTTTTAGAAAGCCATTGACAAAAGAATCTGGTCTTAAGTTCAACAAGTATGCAGGAGTCCTGGTGTTTTAAGTCAAAGCTGCGTTTTTATTCAAATTTAAGCAAAACAAAAAAAAAAACAAGAAATCTTGATTGTTTTAAAATGCAAGCTGCAGATGACAGTGAATTAATGTTAAACTTTTTTTTTTTTTTTAAAGAAAAAATTCAAACAGCTGGATCCCAATACATTTTGTTTCAGGACAAATTTCTGCATTACTCCTTTTTTTGGTGTCTTTAGAATAACATGACACTGTATAGTATATTACCCCTGTAAAGTTTGTTTTGGTAATTCAGCTCAAAGTAAAACCAACTATACAGATTCCCTACTCAAAATATATTTTAAGGGTTTATTCCCATTATGGCATATAGCAAAACTAAAAACTCAAAATTGAAACATTTAACTGAAATGTTATGACTTGCACAATCATTGGGATGACAGCTGTTCAATTCATTTTGCTGGAAATAAAATGAGCCGTCACAAACATATCATAAATTATCAGGTATTTTGCAATTTAATTTCTAAATCACAAAATATCTGAAAGCAGTCAGCTGCACCGATACTGAAAGCTTGGAAAGCCATTTCTGAAGCAAAACATAACCACGCAACTGACAACAATCTGTTGTAAATTGTAAGCAGCAAGAAGGAGGCTTGTGTTTTTTGTTGAAGGCTTAGACATACCGACACAAAAGTTTATCCCCCACAGCAAAGAAACCCCAGAAATCACCCAGCAGGATGTTGCAATGAGGAAAAACTGGAGCCAAGCAGCCAGAAGAAACTGCAAAGACCAAACCAGACTGGGACCTGATCTGGTGAAAGATCCCCGTTTCAGACCTTAAGCACCTCACACAGATACTTACACTCACTCGCTGCACCTCAGCCTGTTGATTGGCCTTCTGCCGCCGGAGGTCAGATTTGATGAATCCTGTGAGAAATAGAGGCATTATACTGGTAGACTAAATGTTTAAAGTTGATGCAATTAAAAAGAAAGGATATTTCTACATTCTAAAAGGTAAAATGTGCCAAATAAATGTCTTGTGTGCTGCAACTTTGCATTAGAGGGCAAAAACCCTGAACAAATTGCATATAGTGTGAAAAGAATTTTGTAACCCGACAACTGATTTTCAGTCAATGTTCAGCAAAGCACGGATCCAACACCAAAAAGCTGGTGGTCTTCACAGGAAATAGTGAAAACAACTGTATCCAAGTTATTTCACAAATTAACTATGTATGAAAATATGAAGTACAAACATATTGTGGTGGGAAGATTATTGTAAAATTAACACCTGCTGGTCATATTAAATTAAGTGCTTGTGAAAGAACCTGTATGGGTTACACACACTCAAGGTTGGGAGTCGTTTTCCTGCAGCTACATGGGAACCAGACTGTTTTTCACATGTTTTAGATCTTTATCCTTGGTATAAAACCTATGTGTTGACTCAATGCTTCATTATTGATTGTCTTACAAGCTCTCTGTATTGTGTACACCGTACAAAATAAACCTGATTGAGTGATTGCATCTCTTTTTTTTTCCTGCAACAAAATTTAAGGTAAAAACTGTCCACGAGCAACTTTCACAAATTTGTTTTAAATGTATCCACCAGGGGGCAGCAAACATCCAAATATGATAACAGCTTTTACACAAGGAAGTAAAAAAAAACAAAAACAAAAACGGACTTGCAGAAGTCTTCATGCCCTTTGACATTTTGTCACT